CAAGCTTGTAAGATACTAATTGATTACACAAGCAGAATATTATAGTTTCCTTTTTATATCAGTTCTTTTTAATTTTAGCATGTTTCTGGTAGTGCAGACTAAATATAGCAAATTTAGCTAGAAACATAGCAAATTTTTTAATAGCGCACTTCACTTCCTGAAATGTAAATAACACATATCAAGTGACAATTATTGCAGAGTGTCAATCTATTTCTTGGTTATAAAGTAATTTTTATTGCACAATTCTCGCCGTGTAGTGAGTAGCGCTAGAATCTCTTGAACGTGTGCATACACATGCCTTCGATTCGTTCCGCCGCAGATCGATACGATCGTTCATTAAATAGCTTTGTACCCATCGGGACGGCACCGGTGTTCAATCCTTCGCGATTTAATTGATTTTAATAATGCCGGTTTGCCCTCGCCTTTTTTCATCATGCTTCTTCTGCCCGAGTGTTTCGCTTAATTTTATTTCTCCTATTAGGGTGGCGACCCTCTACGCAACCGCCACTTAAATAATTTCCCATTAATGGTCGCCATTTCCGTTTATCTACCTCTAATATCCCCCGATAATAGCTTAATTACCATCTCGCGGCGCGTTTTCCCGAAGGGAGAGACAGCGCCGATAGAGGAGACATGAATAATACATGAAAAGCGCAGCCCCGCGTCGTGCGGCACCTCGAAATCTGCCGGCGTGGTCGACCCTCCTCCAAGATCGCTGTCGCCCGGGTTACCTCTCGCTCTGTCTCGATGTTTCTGCGCGATCTTATCGGTTAACCGCACAACTATCATGAGATCACCCCGCGCAAAGAATAATGCAGAATTTACACCTTGGCAGAGAAGCAGAAAGGCGGCAGCTAATCAGAACTCATGCTAGTAGTAAGCAGAGACTGTCAGTTATCACCTGACCACAAGATTGCGTTTGGTCTTTGCTCTTCTACTTTCTGCATTTCTGTCAAAGTGCGAATTCTCCATAAGGGAGAATTTGCACGTTAGTAGAAAGCAGAGACTGTCGATTATCACCTGCCCAGCAGCGCGAGTTCTATTCGACTTCTGCCTTTCTGCTTTCCTGCCAAGGTGTGAATTCTCCTTAAGGGAGAATTTACACTATTTTAAAGCTTAGTCTACCATGTGCTCTTTGCTTCCTATTTCTTATTCTCTGTCTTTTCTTGGCTTAAGGTTTGAGTCAGAAAAAGATAAGGAGAAAGAAACAGAAAGTAAAGAACACATAATATATAAAGTTTTAAAGAAACTTTACATCTTAATAGAAAGCAGAAGCTGTCGATTATCATCTGACCACCATTGTGAGTTCTGTTTAGTTTCTGCCTTTCTGCTAAAATACGAATTCTCCCGTAGGGGAGAATTCATCCTTAGAGAAAATTCACCTTGGCAGAAAGGCTGAGATCAGTCAGAACTCGCGCTGATAGTGAGCGATACATTATGCAGAAACTGTCAGCATGAGTTCTGATTAGTTTTTCTGCTTTTTCGCTAAGGTGTGAATTCTCTCTAACGCAAAGTGGCGTTCCTCGCATAGCTCAGCGGCCTGAGTGACGTTTCCCGATGCAGTGTCGGAGCGCGGACGAAAATCCGCGGTTCCACGCCCGCACATCCGCACTCGGGAATTCACGTGTTGCTTCCTTCAGCAGTCGGAAGCATAACTCTGGCTGGCTGCTGAGGCTATTTTCTAGCGCGCTGGTCAGAACGCCGGAACACAATAAAGTTGACGGCCGCGTGTTGCGTTGCGTTACGTATGTCTCGTGCTCCACAAGGGCGTAGTAGAACGTGCGGCTCTTAAAGCGCGCTGCCCCGACTAATATGGTGGAAATTACCGTTCGCCTCGTAAATCGACGCAACCCGCAATTTACATCGGCGAAGCGCGCCATAAGGCTCGCTATTATGCCCCGCGACATTAATATACGAGACATTAAGGTCCAACGCCGCTGCGAAGGTCGTATCACTCGGTGACTCGCCCAAGCTCCTCGCGGCTTCAACAGCGATTTTTCGTCCCCTTATCACCTCGTGCGCTCTCGAGCTTCTCGAAGACTGCTTCGTTAACCACGCACTGTTGCGATAGCATCACGTTTTCAGCGGGCATGGATGCCCTGTATTTTAGAATTTCGAAGTTACCACTTCTCATACGACTAATTGTTGTGACGGACTGTATAAACACATAGAGACAACCTCCCATGTATTCATTATTTACTGTGCAAACATGATAGAGGCAGTCTTCTTTTAGGTGTCCACGATTCCGTATATATTTTACGTAACCATATATTTGGTTCAGCTCGACTGTATTCAGTCACGATGGAAAATATTAATTTCGAAAACTGTATCAGTTTTTTTTATTTTTTGACCGTAATATTACTTAGAGATAAAATATCTATGTTCTGAAAGTACCATTCCGCGACTTTGTGTGTATCCACTTTTTTTTCAAGATAAATACTAAAAAAAGCACATGAGCAACATGAGCTTTTAAAGCCATGTAGATCCGGCTTGTCCACTACATGCTACAGGAACAAATTTACTCTAATCGTCTGAAACATTCACTTGGAGTCAGAATCCACTCGAATAAAACTTTTAAGCTTAATCTATAATGTGTTTTTTGCTTTCTGTTTCTTTATCTCTTTCTGACTTAAATCTAATCTACAATTTGCGTTTTGCTTCCTTTTTCTTGTTTTCTGTCTTTTTTTAAAACTTAAGATGTAAGTCAGAAAAAAGTAAAGAAAAAGAAACAGGAAGCAAATAACATATTGTAGATCAAGCTTTAAACCTTAAGCTAGAAAAAGAGAACAAGAAATAAGAAGTAAAGAGCACATTGTAAATTAAGCGTTACACTTACAAATATTCTCCAAATGTTTTCACTGTGGCTTCGAGTAAATTTTCACTCATTTCAATTTAACACTAAAAAAATGTGAAGATACAAATCCTCCCATTCTGTTGCTTCAACCCACTCTGCCGTCCAACACTTCCGCGCAACTAATTTTTGTATTAGCGATAGACATCTGCTGCATTTTAATACCACAAATACACGCGATCTATGTGCCATGTGATTTATGTGGGGAATATGGCGATGATGCTTAATTAACTGCTTCGCTCATTCCCTCTCGGTTAATTGTTGGCAGCAACGACGATTATCTTTCTGATCTTTTGCTCTACCATCGCGCGATATGCTTCGCGTTGTGCGGCGAAAAGGCCACTGCTTTTGGGAGCTCTCCACGCTTCCAAAGTGTCGGCCGAGACCCCGGTCGTTTTCGGAGTCTTCAAAGTCGCGCGGTAGTCCATGACTATCTCTTCTTCCTTGCGTTAAAAAATAATGCCGTATATCGACACGTATTTAATATTTATGCTCGGGACATTAAAGGCTCGCCGCACGGCATATCATATTATGCAACATATTTATATATTCCGTGCAATGTATATATACATATATTGGAGGTGTTACTCGAAATATAGTCATTAGCGAAGATGGGATGTAATTGCGCATCGCAACGGCGGCTAATTCGCGCACAGCCGCTCATAAACCGATCTTATCTCGTCCGTTCGTCGTGCAGTCTACACGAAGCATCGCTTGTTCCCCGATGTACAGGGTATCCCACAAGTCGTGAACTTAATTTCAATAACGAATTCCTCGGTGAATTTCAGACAATTTTCCTTGCAAAAGAGAGGAAAATGCCGAGGCACTCGTGGTTACAAGCGATTAAGAACGATGAACTTTGCGTGAAGCAACTTTTAATAGAATTTTAATTGGGCGATTAATTAGAAGATGTGTTATTAACGTTATTAAGTTATTTATGTTATAATCACACGAAAAGAGAATATTATACGAGAAAATATTACACAACACACTCTCTCTCCCTTTCTCTCTCTCTCTCTCTCTCTCTCTCTCTCTCTCTCTCTCTCTTTCATATAAATTCTTTTCAATTTTACTGTGCGTTCGCAGTAGTGCAGAAATAGATTGTGTCAATAAAGTCTATCTTGCCAAGGAACGTAATAAATTTCGCTAGAAGAATTTAGCAATTATTTTAACGTTTCTATTTCCAAAATATAATAAATAGTATATGTGGAATAAATAGTAAATAGCAGGGTTGGGAAGTAACTCGTTACTTATAACGAAGTTGCAGTTAGCTACATTTTTTTCGGTAACTGTAACTTAGTTACTTTTTTCCTATCTATAACTGTAACTTAACTTATTTTTAGTAACTTGTAACTTTTTTAACAGTTACTTTAATAGTTACTTGGAAAACATAAAATTAAAATTATATAGTAATCGTATATTAATTTAATAAATTTATCAAGGTATTTATGAAGCATGTGATTAAATTCTTTTATAATTATAATTCCGCCCCCCCCGCCCCGCTAATTTTATTTTTAAAATTATTTAAATTCTCCGTTTTTGAACTCCATTCTCGCTATTCTATCCTACCGCGTATAACTAAAGAATTTCCCTATTAATAAATACCTATTATCATTACAAACATTGAAGATTACAAAGTTACGGTAAAAGATATGTCCTCCTTCTCAAGAAGATTAAAAATCGCGATGGTGGAACAGCCTGTACAGAGAAATCCACTAATAAGATCGAATCATCGTTCCTCTTCGTCTACGATCAGATTGGCGAGGTTGACAATGAGTCGAGTTCTCGGGTGTTATCTTCGTTCATGTCTCCGAGACTCGCGTTGTGAGACTTCTTGGTCGCGAGAATTTGCGATCGTCATCGGTGATCGTGACCCACGCGAGTGAGAAGAGGAATACCGTGGGTGTCGCTTGAATCAAGAGAGAAACGAAGACCTCTTTCTCTCTCTCTCTCTCTCTCTCTTTCATACTTTCTCGATGTCCTTCTTGATGTTGTCTCCGCGCCGCGTTCACCGTGCGCGACCTCGTCGAATAGTCGGTTGCCTCGGGCCCGATTACTTATGCAGTCTCTACGTTAGTCGGCTCGCAACGCCGCACGACCGAGCGCTCTTCTTGCTTACCCTTCGTAACGTGTACTTTATTCTTTCCAGATGCGCTCGCGCCGATAGCTACTGGCGATTCGCTCGTTTAACAGTGTAACGGCGAGGCGGCGGGAGTCGGAGCCGGTGAACGTCGTCGAGCGGTGGCGGAGGAGCGAGGGAGAATGATAGAACGCGGGGAAAGAGGGAAAGAGCGAGATGGCGAGGCGCAGGGAGAGAGGAAGGCACCGAGGGTGTGGAGGCAAAAGGAAAGGCGGAGGGGCAGCCGAGAAGGGGATGCATAGGAATGGAGCGCGACGAAAATACGCCTGCATGTTCTGCCTGCGCGAGGGTGCGTAACTGGAAGGTGAGCGCAATATGTTTACCGTCCAAATATTGTCCTGCCAATAATCGTCTCGCGCGATCATCTCAAGCCGCGAGCGTATACATTTCCGATCGGATCCCGAGCCCCTCGTCTCGCGTGATTGACTTTGGAGTATTGACCTTACGTTTCTGAAACGTACACGTCCTCGTCCTCTCGTGCGAACGCTCGTGCGAACGCTCGTGCGAATACAAAGAATGCAGTTTGATTGAATTAACCCGACAATGAACGAAGCAACGCGTCCTGGCTGAAGCGAACAGAATTTCTATTTCTGAGGAACGAGTTTGGCTCATAAAAGCCGGGAATTCTATTCCGATTGGAGGAAATTCTGTTTTGCTGTGAAGAAAGTAGAAACTTTTGCTTTGGCTGAAGGAAACAGAATTTCGGGTTCTCTGGAGCGGATTGAGTTTATAAACAGAAATTCTGTATTAGTTGAATAGAAACAGAAATACTGTTTTGGTTGAAGAAAATAAAATTTTGTTTTGATGTTGAAAAAATAGCAATTTTTATTTTCGCTTTAGCTGATGGAACAGAATTTTTTATTCTTAAAGCCGAATTTGATTCATAAAGCCTAGAAATTTTGTTTTGATCGTAAACAACAGAATTTCTGATTCGTAGGACAAAATTTGCTCCATATGAGCAATCCTGTTTCCTTCAAGCAAGACGAGTTTAATGCGTTCATTATGAGGTCAATTCAATCAAACATTTCTTCTTTGTGTAAGAAAAATCGGGCAAGCTTTCGGGAGTATTTTTCTTCCTCCAAATCGGACGAATGATATATGGCTGCAGACAATTGTGGAAAAAACTATGTTTAGTGTCCGAGGTTAAACGGGAATTCGTTCACGTACACAGGACCGTTTTCCGCAGAAGTGCTCGAGGCGTGACGAATGTGGGACCGGCACGCGTCGTTCCGCTTCTGAAAAAGCGCGACGCGAGAGGAAAAAAGATAGAACCGGGGAAAAGGATAAGACGAGGACGCGACGCGTCGTGTCGCCCTGGCGGCGGTGATGATTTCACAAAAACGTTAACGAAATGCGTTGTAATTAGGGGTCAAAGGGTGTACACATGGGAATTGCGAGCTATTGGGACAGTTTGGGAAGAAGTAGAAAATTTCAGGCGAGAACGGAAGTTTGAACTTGAAATGCGAATATATCGTGAATTTCCGACTCGAAAGTTCCGAATGATCTCTACGTTATCCTCGGAGAACTCGAAATTTTTTAATATTTTTTTTATTATTAAATTATTTAATTATTTTTATTATTATTTTTATTATTTTTATTAGTAAGTGGGGAAACAATTATGGACTAACTTTATCTCGTTCGTTTATGTTGAATTTTAATGATTTTATGAATGAAGATTGTTTTTATCATTACAAAAAGAATATATCATAAATAGAGTATATCATACTTGCAAGAAAACTTCATTCTAGCTGGTAACACGTCGCTTAACCTTATGTACTCACAATGGAAAATATTAATACAAAATTTCGAGATGCTCCGAAATTTACTTTGCTAAATCAGTTTTTTCTCATCATTTTCATCATTTTTTAAATGTGTAATATTACCCTGATTTTAATGAAACTCGAGGAGAGAGAAGTTCTAAACGCACCATTTCGCGATTTTGTATCCATTGCTTCTTTCAAGATAAGTATAAAAAAAAATAACTAACGTATCTCTAGAGCCATCTAGATCCAGTCTCTAAATACAGGATGATTAGAAAATCGGTTACTAATTTGCAAAATTCACATTTTTTTTAGAGATAATATATATTTAAAATTTCTCTTGCTGATTGTACTGGAACCTAAGAAATTCCAAAGTGACAATCGACTTTTGGGCCATTCTGTATCATGAAATATCTTTAGATTCGAGAGACCACCGGATGATCTCTGCAGCGTCCTCGGAGAACTCGAACTGTTCGAATGGTTCGAGCTCTCGCGACGCTCACGCATTCACTTTGCGATAAATATGCAGAGGAGGGCGGCTGGGAATTTGAAGCTCGTTATGCGCGAGCCGCAATCGATGGTCGATGGTATGAGAGAGCCTGCCCTAACCGCCGGTTCCGATTACGTTTATTGAAATAATTTGACCGGCCTCTTTCCCGCGGCGGGACCCCCGCGGGACACATTAAAATATCAACGTGTCGGCCTGATCGTCGTAATTTGGGCCCTGAATATCGGGCTTTAGCGCGTCGCTTTCTTTTTTCTCCCCTTTCGAACGACTTCTTAACTTGTTCGAGGACACCTCGACGATCCCGAGAGCCGTGGTAGCAAGCCGCGGACTCTTTTTAAAAATTCTGCAAAACGCGATAATGAAAGAGAGATAGGCGGCTGGGTGAATATTGGCCGGAGAGGAAGACGTATTAGCGATCGGCTGAGCCGAGACGAGAAAATAAATAAATAAGCGAGCGAGAGAACGAGCGGACGTCGATGCGGATGATGGAAGTTGAAGCGGATGTGACCACGTCGTACCCACAGCACGCGGCACGCTCGACTAACCACGGATATATCGATTCGTCGTGATCGATAACGCGCACACCTCGTCCCGCAAAATCGTGTTGCGAATCGGCGGACGTTGATCTTCTTCTTCGCGCTCTTATTTAGCGTCGGCGTTATCGCGGGCGTGTTTCTCGCGCGACCGAAATTCCGGTCGGTTCTCCATCTCGAGAAGAAGGGAGAGCAGAGAGACCCAGACGGACTTTCACGATTATCGCGACATGAGACAATCGATGGTGGGAACTCTATTTAAGACTACTGATCAATCAGCCGAGAATTCCGCGTTGACGGTGACATGATTGTAAACGGCAAAATGATCAACTATTAGGCGAGAAAATGCTCGTTTCCGAAGAACTTCCGCACTAGTGCAGGTTATTGCAAGAAGAGTTAGAATGAAAGAAGGTATATCTAAGTAAGAAAATTTCCAGGAAAGACTGGTTTCTAGCCAGAAACCGGTTAGTTTTTACTGGCTAAGATTTATTACAATATTATTCAACTTATAAAGATTGCATCGCTCATGACTGGAGGATATTTTCATCACATAGCATAAGGAGATAGAAATAAGAAAGAAGTTTTGAACGATTTGTCGAAATTTTCTTCAAGCAACATGTCATATAAAATGTAACGTGAAAATTTGAGTATAACTTTTCGTAAATTCGTTGCCGATGGGATAAATTTTTAGTCGGATAACGAGGTATCCTGAGACAAAGGTAATTACCAATATCGACGACACGCGCCCCTGAAACCGGTTCGTTCCACACTCGCGATGCATTCGTTTCAGGCCGCGTCGCGCCGACGGTGTTTCGTGATAACGAGGCGATTTTTCGTGGCGCGAACCACGGCTGCCACGGTGAGAACGGAGGACTATTCGGCGGTTTTTAGCGAGGGCAGATTAAGAAGAGGGATCGTCCGTGAAGAGGGACGAACGCGAACGGCCGGTGTTCGCGAGGTGTGCGCGGGAGAAGAAGCCGCAGATCCGCCGAGCGTGCTCGTAAACCGCTAAATCGAATGGCCGGAGGCGAATCGTAAAGCCTTGCGGCCCGCGCGGTAGCGAGAGATTAAATATAACTTTTTACGATGGGAACCGCGGGAGACCCAAGGAAGCGGGAGCATTCATAGACGATCGGCGTCCCGTGTCCGCCAGAATCGACAGCACTTTTAAGGGGCCGCCATACTTGAAAGCTTCGCCGACGAAATATTAACCCTTTTCTGCAAAGTTTACGTCGCATCGGTGTTGCACAGATTTACTGCACTGAAAAAAGAGATCGGGCAAAACGAACCAAGTCTCTGAGCTGAGCAAATTTGGTTGCATCAACTGCAACTGAGACGAGTAAAAATTAAGTCTGTTCAACAATCTGATGTAGGAATTTGAACTAAAAAAATTAAAATCAGAAACAACTGAAATGTATGCAGTAAAAAATAAATGTTAATTAACATTTTTACGTGTCTTAAAAAGTCCACTCTGAGCTTTGTATAAAAATAACTCATTCGTGATGTGTTACTTATCGATGAATTATGAATATTAATTGATACCCACCGATTTTTTCTTACATTCATGCTTGTTATTTTGAATTAAAGCTCAATTTGTAAAAATAATATAAATAATAAAAAATACTGTAATTGAGTTGATTAACTCAACTTGATTCTATTGTTCCGATCGATTTTTTTTTAATAGTGTGCTTTTACATATTGAGTATATGAGGAAAATGATAAAAAATTGTAAAATTGACAGCTCGAGCTGTCGGTTGATGTAAATGTTTACTTGAAACACGGAAGTTCTGCAGTAGCATTCGAATATCTCTTGTCGGTCGGGAAATCAATACAGTAATCTCGCTCTGTCAAGATTTAGATAACGTGGTCTCAATGATTCTCATGTTTATTCGCAAACATGAGGATTCGTCGATATCCTCATTCAGTTTCGAATACCGAACTGAAATATACCGTCCGCAAAAATCGACGCGTGGCAAAAAAAGGAGAAAAAGTTCTCCGGAAAAAATGGCATTTCAAAGTTGCACCCTGGCTAAAAGGGACGGGAATGGACCGGCGCTCCTTATTTATGGTCGGCGATTATGATTCTCGTGACCGTCGGAGAAGGGGGAGAACGACGCCGATAAAGTGTGCGCGTCTCCTGGTCCGCACAAAGTCTCGACGGGATTCTCGAGAATCCTCTCGGGGATCCCAGGTGCCGCTTACCGCCAGGAGGGCAACGTATTTATAAAGGACGTATTTAAGTCAGGACGGGAAGAGAGAGAGAGAGAGAGAGCGCTAGCTGTGCGCACACGGCACGCGGACGACGATATACCTCGGCTGGCAAGGAAGATAGATAAAACGATAAGCTGGCTTTATTAGCTATACGGCCGGACGTAAATAATTTTATCGCGATAACGAGCGCGATTCTCTCGACGGCGTGTTGTAGCTAGACTCACCTACCGTAGTCCAGGACAAATCTACGATCCTGCAAATGCCCGGAACGGTATTACACTCGTCTCTGCGA